ATAGTCACCAATAAAACAATTGGTAACACACTACGCCGTGAAGGACTGAAATCATGCAGCGCCCACAAGGTCCTCCAGCTCAAGAAAGCACATATACATTCCCGTCTGAAGTTTGCCAATGAACATCTGAATGATTCAGAGGACAACTGGGTGAAAGTGATGTGGTCAGATGAGACCAAAATGTAGCTCTTTGGCATCAACTCAACTCGCCGTGTTTGGAGGAGGAGGAATGCTGCCTATGACCCCAATAACACCATCCCCACTATCAAACATGGAGGTGGAAACATTATGCTTTGAGGGTGTTTTCTGCTAAGGAGACAGGACAATTTCACCGCATCAATGGGACGATGGACGGGGCCATGTACCGTCAAATCTTGGGTGAGAACCTCCTTGCCTCAGCCAGGGCATTGAAAATGGGTCGTGGATGGGTATTCCAGCATGACATTGACCCAAAACTCACGGCCAAGGCAACAAAGGTGTGGCTCAAGAAGAAGCACATTAAGGGCCTGGAGTGGCCTAGCCAGTCTCCAGACCTTAATCCCATAGAACATTTGTGGAGGGAGCTGAAGATTCGAGTTGCCAAACGACAGCCTCGAAACCTTAGTGACTTGAAGAAGATCTGCAAAGAGGAGATGGGACAAAATCCCTCTTGAGATGGTGCAAACCTGGTGGCCAACTACAAGAAACGTCTGACCTCTGTGATTGCCAACCAGGGTTTTGCCACCACGTACTACGTCATGTTTTGTAGAGGGGTCAAATACTTATTTCCCTCATTAAAATGCAAATCATTTTCTAACATTTTTGACATGCGTTTTTCTGGATTTTTTCGTTGTTATTCTGTCTCTCACTGTTCAAATAAACCTACCATTAAAATTATAGACTGATCATTTATTTGTCAGTGGGCAAACGTACAAAATCAGCAGGGGATCAAATACTTTTTTCCCTCACTGTATGTAAAAACTGAAAAGTGCACGAAGACGCATGGAGAGGGGCATGTATTGAATCTCACTAAACCGTTAATATTCGCAGATATACGTTCCTGTATGAGGGTGTGAATATTCAATCTGCGAATATGAATACTTAAAGCTTGTGGGGGAAATAGGCTTAAGGGGCATACACATACAGTAATCCCTGGTCAACAGCGGGGGTTAGGTTCCTGGAAAAGGCCGAGGTAGGCAAACCCGCGGTTTGTAAAGCACAGGGGCCTATGGGAAATAGGGGGTTAGGGGAACCACAGCCGTGGTCAGACTCGTCATAGGTTAACGAACTTGCCTGTTTATTAACTAAACACCGAATAAAAATAGTCAATTACACAATACCATTATAAAACATAAATAAACATCGCATTAACTGTACATACCTTTAATTTTAACGACTATGCTGATGACAATACAATGATGGGAGGAGTGGGTTATTCATGATAGATGAGTGGGCAGGCGTACTTGTACATCATCGTAACGGAATTGGAAGAAAAACTGTAATAAAATAACGTTATCAGTACGTTCTCAGGTTGGAAGACGTACGGAGGCTCCCGCAAGGCCATGTGGGAGGGCGTGTGGCACGGTTTGGCGTCAGCCATAATAGGGTGCGGTCGTGTCGCCACGGTTCTCTGCGGTGAGTATAATCTTTAAAAACAATGGCGACAAGCCTCTCTACATAAAATGAACGCTGGACCGCTTGCGCGTTCCGAGATTCAGTGGTGAAACGAGAACACCCACCCTGCAACTTGCAGAATGGGAAAAGGCTTCATGTGAATGTGGTTGCGATGCAACGTGGCTCATGATGCTGCGAGAATGAAAGTACAGTACAACAAAAGAGGGGGACAGCTCTGATCAAGTCACGCAGCGCCACGGGTGGCGCTTTGTCGCGGAGAACCGCGGTCCCCGCGAAATTCGTAAATGCGTCTGGCGGGACCCCGTGCTCATCCGTGGATACTCACATTTTCAGGCCACGGTTGGTAAATTGGTATACAAATAATAAACCGTGTGTACGTGAATCCGAGGTTGGAAAGTCCGCAATGGATTGCTGTACATTGCGTTTAAACATTAACATATAAACTGTGCATAGATTAATGAATACATCTATTGCACGGTATTTTTTTGCAGTTTAACTTACCTTTAACGATGATGAACAAAACCATGTTAACGTTCAAACATTAGTTCATGACCAAATTATGATTACACGGTGTGGCATTTCAAAAACCATTGCAAAGAGTGCGGCAGATAGAGGCGGACCGAGAGGAAGAGGGCTGCCATGCCTCACGACTTCCCGGTCAAGTAGTCAGTCAGCCGCGCACACCTAGTGCCACAAATATAAAATCAAAACCCGGAGAATTTTAAATAATAAACACGACTATAAAATTCGTCATGAATAACGCTGTTAGAAAACCTGCGAACATTATAAGGGCTTAACTGTAACACCGAGAGACAAGAGACACAAACGTCAGACACTATATCCACTGTTGACACAAGTGGTCTTCAGCAGAAAACGACGTTGAGAGTATAGGCGATGATTCGTGGCCGAGGCTAACAATAAAACTTGAAAAATGCACACATTTTGCGAAACAGACTAATTAATGTTCAATCACGAACCTGGAGGCATGGATTAGAGTAGCAGCCGAAACAGGGGACATTGGCAATGGAATGATAAGATGGGTTCAAGTGCTACAATCCTTGAAGTCTTCACCCAGCAGTGGATAGATCATGGCTGATATGAATGACTTAAATAAGGTCCTCTATATGTTATCTCCCTACATTTATAACTATCAACAAATGTTTTAAGTTTATTTTATTTAACCAGGTGAGAACTCAAGAGACCAGGGTGAGTCGCATTGGCATTGGCCTGCCAGTAGGGGGCGATGTTTGATGTGTATAATCCCAATTGAGTGATATTGGGGTATTTTCTTTCAATACATAGAACCGAAATAGGAATTCTTCACAATTCTGGCTATCGCCTGAAAAAGCTGGGTGTCATCACCAGCGAAACGTCGTACTCGAATTGTAAATGTTGTGGGTTTACTCTCCAACGCACCGGTGTGCTGAAGTAGTAATGGTCATGTTTTGTTTACGTGACAAAACTGACTAATTGGTTGTTCGGGTGGTGGTGGTTTAACGACACATTTACGAGATCTAATCCCCAAAAAACCTTGATGGATAATATTGGTCACGAAAGCTAACGTGTTCAACTGTACTTTTTTTCAAATTTGGATGCAATGCATTGCTACAGTGTGGGAAAAGTATTTGATCCCCTGCTGATGTTGTACGTTTGCCCACTGACAAAGAAATGATCAGTCTATAATTTTAATGGCAGGTTTATTTGAACAGTGACAGACAGAATAACAACAAGAAAATCCAGAAAAGCGCATGTCAAAAATGTTATAAATTAATTTGCATTTTAATGAGGGAAATAAGTATTTGACCTCCTCTGAATCAAAAACGATTTCTGGCTCCCAGGTGTCTTTTATACAGGTAACGAGCTGAGATTAGGAGCACACTCTTAAAGGGAGTGCTCCTAATCTCAGCTTGTTACTTGTATAAAAGACACCTGTCCACAGACGCAATCAATCAATCAGATTTCAAACTCTCCACCATGGCCAAGACCAAAGAGCTCTCCAAGGATGGCAGGGACAAGATTGTAGACCTACACAAGGCTGCAATGGGCTACAAAACCATTGCTAAGTAGTTTGGTGAGAAGGTGACAACAGTTGGTGCGATTATTCGCAAATGGAAGAAACACAAAAGAACTGTCAATCTCTCTCGGCCTGGGGCTCCATGCAAGATCTCACCTCGTGGAGTTGCAATGATCATGAGAACGGTGAGAAATCAGTCCAGAACTACACGGGAGGATCTTGTCAATGATCTCAAGGCACCTGGGACCATAGTCACCAAGAAAATAATTGATAACACACTACGCCGTGAAGGACTGAAATCCTGCAGCGCCTGCAAGTCCCCCTGGTCAAGAAAGCACATATACATGCCCGTCTGAAGTTTGCCAATGAACATCTGAATGATTCAGAGGACAACTGGGTGAAAGTGATGTGGTCAGATGAGACCAAAATGTAGCTCTTTGGCATCAACTCAACTCGCCGTGTTTGGAGGAGGAATGCTGCCTATGACCCCAAGAACACCATCCCCACTATCAAACATGGAGGTGGAAACATTATGCTTTGAGGGTGTTTTTTCTGCTATGGGGACGGGACAATTTCACCGCATCAAAGGGACGATGGACGGGGCCATGTACCGTCAAATCTTGGGTGAAAACCTCCTTCCCTCAGCCAGGGCATTGAAAATGGGTCGTGGATGGGTATTCCAGCATGACAATGACCCAAAACACACGGCCAAGGCAACAAAGGTGTGGCTCAAGACGAAGCACATTAAGGTCCTGGAGTGGCCTAGCCAGTCTCCAGACCTTAATCCCATAGAAAATATGTGGAGGGAGCTGAAGATTCGAGTTGCCAAACATCAGCCTTGAAACCTTAGTGACTTGAAGAAGATCTGCAAAGAGGAGATGGGACAAAATCCCTCCTGAGGTGTGTGCAAACCTGGTGGCCAACTACAAGAAACGTCTGACCTCTGTGATTGCCAACAAGGGTTTTCCCACCAAGTACTACTTCATGTTTTGTAGAGGGGTCAAATACTTATTTCCCTCATTAAAATGCAAATCAAGTTATAACATTTTTGACATGCGTTTTTTCTGGATGTTTTCGTTGTTATTCTGTCTCTCACTGTTCAAATAAACCTACCATTAAAATTATAGACTGAACATTTCTTTGTCAGTGGGCAAACGTACAAAATCATCAGGGGATAAAATACTTTTTTCCCTCACTGTATGCTTCTTTAAGTGTTCAACAACATTTTTTTTTAAACTGGAATAAATAAATGTAAATTCTTGTTTTTTTTCTGCAGTGTTTAAAAGTCGGATGTCTACCCCGCCATGTCACATCCTTCATCCTACTCACAGTTCACGTTATGACTCATAGCAGCACACGCGATTCGGAACAATTTAATTTCTTGCAAATTTATTGGATTAGAAAATGGCCACATGTCAATAATCTATAATTTGTTTTTGTGTTACTTACAACATGTTAGCACAAATACTGAAGCAATGGCCTGCAATCCCATTACAAGCAGTGAATGACAAAATCGTGTTAAGAGTCTTCATCGCTGTCTGTACATCCAGTTTGTTTCAAGCTCCTCCTGTTGTAAACAACCTCACTGCATCCAGTCCTTTTGATGGAATACTCACAAATTAAAATCAAATAAAGAAAAACATATTTAATAAACTCCTGAAGCTAGTACATTACAGTACATCTATTTAATGATGAAACACTTGTCAGAGTAGTCCCACGGTTTGTTCTAATGAACCATTACATGAGCAATTGAATGGAAAGACATTTGGAAATACGATGTCGTATGTATGCATGTGTTTTGTATATGCAAACAGCGGGGAACGGTGGCGCAGTGGTTAGCATGCTGCGCTACGAACTCGGCGATCAGAGTTCCATTTCCGCTCACGGGCAACACCAGTGACGTTATCTGAACCATTCCTCGGCCTCTCCTAGGTCGACTCAGCCTCACATGAGTACCTAGTGTGATGTGTAAGTATCGCCACGAGGGAAACAAAGACGGCCGGGCGTGGTGCTGGCCACAAACCCTCTCATGTGCCGTGCAGGCCTTCATAGGTGCTCTCAAACAGCACTTGCCCCAAAAGTCTGTTAACGCCATACAGGCGATCTGTCGTTGTGACAACTGTATGTGCATTTGTCTGTGTACAATGTGTAGATGCAAGTATGGTATATTTCGATGTGTGCGTTTATATCCATGTACGTATAATTCATGTGCTCCATTAATTTTATATTTGCAGAAAAAGTTTTTTTTTTTATGTATAGGTGGTTATGGCCAACATTTTCTCAACAAAAAAGGAATATACTTTTTGTTAAAACGCATAAAGCAATGTTTCTCAATATAGAGCGCACAAGCATGAGTGATTTATCAATAATTGGTGAGGCAAAAAAGGTGATAACATTTAAAATACTTTTCTTTTTCACATACAGTACCATTGGCTCCATATAACACTTTTTTTATATTAACATTAAAACAAGCAAGCTCTTGTTCTGCATAATGCATACATCGTAAAAATAAAAAAAGATGACAATAAAAAAAACAAATGAAGACTTGTAAAATATTACACTGTTTTAAAGTGTTGCTCTAATTCCTTTCAAGGCTGAGGGTGTGATAAGTGTTGCCTCGTGTACAGAGAAGTCCCTTCTTAGATGTCAACGCTGGTTGAGAATGTTACATGTTTGCTCCCTTAGTATTCGATCGTAGCATTGAGCGCTTCCAGCAAAGACTCTTTTCACTTGGAATTTCACACTGAAGCACACTCCGTTTGGCCATTCCCATCGCCCCTTGCGTTGCCACCGCCCGATTCGCCCGTACGGCCAGATTGGGGGGTGGTGGGGGGGTGGCAGCAACGGGGTACAAATCTGCATGGCAAGCAGCACCGTTTTAGCCTTCAATGTCAGCAATGTGTGACAACTTCCATTATTTCGCATGTTTCATGGAAATGCCAATACTGCACGAGTATTTATGTACTGACTTCCCACCGCTCCCCCCCCCATCTCGCATTTATATATTCATGTATATATAAGTTACATATATATGTATATTAATACCCAAGTTTTGTCGCTTCAGGCAGCAGAGTTGTGTGGTGTGCGAGTTGCGCTGTAAGTCCTTTTTTGGATAAAAACACTGATATGTTTGCGTCTGTCTGATAAGCAAGGTCTCATGATGCCAGACAGTGCTTGTGTGAAAGTAACAGTCCCGTAGATGCCTGTCATTTCAGATGCCAAAAGAGGTTGCTAATCTATCCGTGGGGTGTTAATGTCATTTTTAATTCCCTTACAACAAAATTTCCCCTCTCTTGCCTCTCAGATTTTCCTTTTTTTTCCCACATCTGAATTCCGAGAAGCTGCACACCATTTCTGAGAATCATGCCATGTCAGCAGACTCCTAAAGTTACCACTTCACTCTTTTAAAAGAGTTTTACTGTCCTGGTGCACTTGTCGCTCTTTCAGTGAAATTGTCTCAGAGTCCATGCAGTTTTGTTTTTTTAATGCGTGCACAACCCACTTAATTTTCTGGCAGGTGTAGAAGTTCACGATGCATTTTGTCAAACGAGCTTCCAACTTCATTTTCCACATTTCGTCTTTTTAAATCTCATAAAGACCCCACACTGCCATTCATAAACATAAAAAAATAAACAAAGGTCATTCTCACTCTCGAAAGCCAAGTTTTGGCACAGTCCAGGACCAACATCTTCACTGGGATGACCGTAATTCCGTTCCTCTTTTCAATCAATGTTTGTCTCAACGGCTCCGTCAGTGAAGAGCTTAGTTCTTCCACGGTGTCCTGAAGCGTGAATCACAACCCGTACACCATAATGTCCCACAGACTCCTGCACAGCGCCATTATAAGGATTTACCAGGGCATTGGTATAACAATAAAACAATGTCATTCTGCCACCCCATTTGGGTAAGGGTTAAATAATCTCTCATGTCACTGGGGCCCCGGATGGTTATTCGTGAGTCAGTCTACAATGTGGGTTCATATATGCTCTTCAAACTCAACTCAAGATGTGCTGCTCTTTTGCAGTTACTTCACGGAGGAAATCTATTTTTGGGGCACACCGTTGCAGACTGAGTTGATAATTGCAGTGTCAGGATCATTCTCATCGCTGCACCCTGCTGTAAATTGGCTTTCGAAAAAGCTGTGCCTCGACTATATGAAGTTTCGCAAAAGCATCAGAAAGTTCACTTGACTCTGCCCGTTGCCTGCAGTGCAAGCAGGTGTAGATATGTAAAAACTAATAAATGCACATTTGACCAAAGGAGAAAAAAACCCGAGCAAAAAATAAACTGCTCAGAATGGATGAAGTTTGTGGTAGCATTATGATTTATGCTTATTAACAGCCAATGCTGAAGCGAAAAAAGCTTAATGAAGTGCATGAAACCTGAGATATATACAATCAAGGCTGAAAAATGTACATGTACATGTACACCTATAAAGGCATATTGTTAAAGGTATATTGTATATACAAATGTAAATCTTGTTGTGCACTGTTATATTTTAACAAACACTATCCTTTTTAGATTTGTTTTCTTTCATCTATCATTTGACAGTCTAAAAGAAGGGAAAAAAAAGCTTATAATGTTGGATGCTTTGAGTACCCTGTCTATAACAGAACAGGTTATGTGTTAATGCAGATGTGTAAATCATAACTACAGAGTCAAGCACGCACCAGAACCAAATAGGGCCAGGCTGCAACCTAGTTCAAAAGCAGAAGACTGTACCGTTCAACAAGGCAGAAATAAAACGGACACCTTTGATAACCCCCCCCCCCCCCAGGATACGCTTATTATAATGTTACATTTTACAATGTAACATAAACGTATACGTTCCAAAAATAGAACAGAAGGGAGAAAAAAGAAAAGAGAACAAATCTACGTGCGCGAATGGCTTTTTCGCCAACAAAATCTTCTTTTTTGTCTCCCAAGTGGAGGCACGGAAGGGTCGGACTCAAAAGCCTTCCTTCTGCTCTAGCTCACGGGGTGTGAGCTGCTGCTGCTGTGCCGTTAGATCTTGATGGTCTCGGTGCCGTACACGTTGTAGCCCTCCTTGTACGTGAACCCCACACCGGGATTGGCTTGGCTGCCACCTGACGTGGGGTTGTAGTTAGGCGGCGGCGGAGGGGGCGCCGGCGGCTTGAGAAGGCTCTGCGCCACCAGCTTCATGCGCTTGGCCTCCGTGCGCGACTTGTAGCAGAACTCGATGAGAGCCACGAGCATGGCCAGACCAAGCCCTCCCACGAGGATGTAAAACACCCCCGCCACATTGCTGAGGCTCAGAGCGCTCGTTTTGTCCTATTCCGCGCGAACGGGAGGGTCGGGGTGGAGCAGGCGGGCGAGCCGGGCAGGCAGGCAGGACGGTGGACGTAGTCGTCGCAGCAGCGAGTTATCCCGTTGGCGTTGTGGTCGTGCGGGTGGCCGGCCAGCCGCAATCGGCCAACCGACGATGAGGTTTGAGAAGCATGCGATGGATAGAGGGAGAGGTGGACGTTTTAGGGTGGTGGTAGGGAAGTGTTGGGAAAGATCAACAGGTTAATAACATTTTTATCCACGTTTTAATAAGTGTGGATTTGGAAAGCACGGATTGTACAGTTGCCGATATTTTGCCAGCATCGGCAATACAGTACGTATTTTGCCACAAATGCCAAATGTACTATGCTACAGCAAGCGTACACTTATTTATGCAATGGTGTTATTGGTGCAGCATAAAAAATGTTTGCCAGGCTTTATTTTGCTGTTATGAATGGGCAAATAATGGCCCAAACACAAGCCAAATACTACAGATGGTTGGTTATCACAGTATTTTGAATGGGACTCGGGAAAATACATGGTTTGAGATGTGAATGTAATAGAATTGGTTATATGTTTACTGTTTAAATACATATTATCTGCTCCATTATCATTTTACATTTAAATAGTAATTTCATATTGAATTAGTCATGCATTACAATCTTTAATATTTATTAAAAACCTGAATTTCTTAAATGTTTGAAAGTTTTTGCGTTTTTGAAAATACCTGATTGCTCTTAAGAAATAATCAGATATATTTGAATTGGCTTCATATTTGAAAACGGCACGTCAACACAGGTTACATTTCTTCAGTGCATTCAGTAAAAGCTTAATCAACCTAAGAGCAGTCTGTCTCCACATTTGGAAATTTGAGCAGTGATTTTGCCTATGCAGTAAAATTTTCCCGTGTGACAGACGGGGGAGGATTAGCCCAGCGCAATTTGTCAAAGTTATCTTCCAAATTCAATTATGTTTTAAAATTGTGTGTCCTATAAATCAGTGCACCGGTTTAATATTGAGCATTTCAAGACCAGTATCTGTTGGCTCATCTTAAGCAGGATTTTGCGTACATTTTTTTTTACATTGGCATGTGCGTTATCCACTTGGTAGGAGTCACTTTATCCAGAACATTTACATTTGTATTGGGTTATTGCTTCGCACCGTACATGGACGTATTTGACTTTGCTTTACTGTCATTGTAAAAATAAATCAGGCCAATCCTTTTGTGGGTTTTTGTTGCCATGTGTTATGTCGATAAGAAGTGCAGCACGACATTTTTAATGGATTTATTTAGATAATTATCAGTGCTTTCATTTTTGTAAGTAAATAATCTGGAGGAAAGTGCACATAAAACGGCGAATTTTAATTTTCAAGACTCGCGAGAGCTGTCATCAAATGTAATTCTCTGGCATTTAAACGTTAAAATGACATTAGCGGTTACACTTAACGTTGGAGATCTCTGCAGCTCAGTGACATTTCCACCATAAATTGGTCAGGCCAAATTAATGTTTTGTCACACTTGATGGATGTTTGCCACATTTGTGAAAGATTCATAATTGCTTGATGTTAGTTTTCACAGTTAATGTGAGGTTTTTTGGAATATTTTGTAACGTGTATTAATTCGGGGCTTGTTTTGACGTGAGCAAAAGTATAATTTTAGACAAAGTTAAAATCTTGTTTTTCATGACAGAATTATGACAGTTCAATAGATTTTGGGCAAAATTGCACTATTTTTATATGCGGCACCAAGGTAACAGTAATCATCTTTCTAGAACCAAATTGTGAATATTAAATGTAATATATTATCTTAGTATAAATTTATGATTGTAAAAAGCTAATTCCAATTTTCATTAAAAAAAGTATACACTAACATTTAATACATTTAAAAAGCATTGCATGTACCCTCCCCTCTGTATGATTAAAACTCTCATCAAATAAACAATTAAATTGTGGCATTCAGTTTTAAGTAATGCACACATCAGGCTCAAAATATTCTCACAGAAAAATCTAAAATTTAAAATTCTGCATTAATTGTTAATGCAGCTAAGTGAATTGGCATTACTATAGTCATGACTGACAAGAGAAATTCCAAACGTAATGTTCCGTTAAACTGTGAATTAAAATGCCAGTAAACGATATATTTATTTTTAGAATTAAGTATGCATGCATTACAAAGCCATCTCAGAGTGAAGTGTGACTAATTCGTAGTAGGCGTCATAAAATGTGACAGCTTGACTCGATGGATCACCAATTTGACTGGCAGAAGACTTGAATAGAAAGTAACATTTGCATGTTTAACACGACAAAATATTTAAAGAGGGACAAACATTTTTTTCCAAAACATCACAAACATTATAAATATCGAATCATATAATGTACTATTGGGGAAATAAACACGGGTGTAAATACAGCCAATTTGTAGATAAGTGAATTAGTATTTTTCATGTTAATACCATTAAAACAGATTTTATGACAGCTACTTTTTATACGTAGGGAATTTATATCTCATGCAGTACTGCAATTACGTTATTAAGGTACAGACACATTCCTCTACTGCATATGGCATGTGTTGGAATTGTTCTTAGCAACATAGTCACTGGATGTTCAATTTCTCTAAGAAATTGCTTGCATCTAGCACACAATTACCCTTCACAAGTTACCAAATGTACGGTGAGATATGGTAAAATGGCCATTTGTTGTATATCGATCAGGAACGCAGTCTCACAGTCTTTTGAACGTTTTATGTCAGTCTAATTTTCAATTAAATACTTCTAAATGGCATCAACATTTACTAAGCCCATGTACCATAAACGTGCGCGAGTGTATATGCAAACATACAATGTAACGTGCACTCACACGCATCGATAGATTTATGTAAAATAAAGTAATTACTGTAATTAACTACACATGACCATTTAAGCAGTATTAATGCAGAAAACATGTGTGTTACTACGTAATTACTTAAATGAATACCCTTTTGTCAATCATCTGCTGGTTGAGGGCCTCCCCACACGGTGCAGGCTGTGGCGGTTATTTCACCACTGGTCGGTGCAGGGCCCGTGAAACGTGGAAACATCCACGTGGAAGTTGGTAGGAGCAATGGAATCACTGCCGTCTGCTGCCCACCACGCAGTAGCCCGCACGTCTATGGAAACCCTCGTTTGTGCGCGGTGGTCGCCCATTCAAGCACGTAGCCAGACTCAGGGGTTTGCTCAAGATAGGGTGCACTTACTGAAAACGCATTTCTTTAGAAAGGATTTTCGTGTTTAGTTTGTTGTCCTTCCCACGCACCTCATTAGCACGGTTGGATATGTACGGTGCGAAATAAGTTCAACATACATCGTGTGATTTGGTCACAGGCTTAGTAAATATCCTTCACTTATGAAAGGCATACATTTTCCAACAATGTATTTTCTTTCCTGACACGACCAAGTGGATTTGGCTCACCAACTGCCACTGGACGAGGGCGATTCGAGAGCAACGATGCAGATAGATGTTTGTTTGGCGGCTGTGAGAACGATTCCTCTGATGAAAAAAATGGCTTTTACTCATATACGCCCACCACACGCGGTCCGCGCATCGTCACAGAGAGAAAGGGAGGCCCCACCCTCCCCCGGCAACAACTAACCTTATTTCCGGAGTCCTTGCCACCGCACTCCCCTTTATCGTACCACCATTTGTTTTTCAGCTTGTCTAAGACTCCTGCCTCACTCAGTTTCAAAACGGCAAGGTTTACCGGAGTTCTTTTCGTACCGGGAGGGAATAACATAAATAACAGCACATCGCGCGTTATGTTATGTTATTGAATGCCAACAATCATTCAGCGCGTGGGGCGGCCGCAAAGCGATGACGCACGGCACCGAGGGAGTTTGCAGCTTCCTGTGGCAGACGTCCTCCCTAAGCCCTACGCGATCGCTTTGGGTAATCAGCAAAGTTTGAACTGCACACGAGCGCATTTCCGAGCACCGAAGACTCGCCTGCACTCCTTCCTGCGACCTCCACCAACTTCACTGTCCAAAAAATCCTAATTGACAGTTTCTCTGCATGGCGTTGCTCGCATTTCATTTTGACATCACGGAGGGCCCACGTTTAATTGAGCGACCGGATGTCAAAATGGCGCTTCAACCGCATAACGGATTTGGTTTAACTTATGATGCACGTGGATATAAATTCGCGGTTTGACGGGTCACTCTCAGGCCAATTAAAAATGTTTAATTTGGACATGAGTTGTTTTAATAACCCGATTTGATTAATAATCTGGTTAAAGTGAAAGGCTAATCATTTAGATACATAAAATGAGCGAATCCCTAGCAACCAAAGGAATATTGTTTAAAACATTTTTTTTAACATTAAACACAAAGTCTAATGGTTATGGATTTATACCTGGTAGTAAAACATACACTCTCAACAAAAGTGTGCACGTTTCACTATAAATGCATAACCAACATATGTATAGCATGAAAGTATATTCAGAAAACTTTTAATTTATTGAATCTTATAGGGATATTTCTGCTTAACTCATCACATAATTAATGAAGGTTACATATATGCACTACACGAATTTCCATAACGAGAATAGCAAAAATAACTTGAGTCCTTTGGTTGCGCACCTGAGTCACTGCCTTGGGATTCCAATTAAAATGTAAAACTTAACAATTGTCACCGCTTCTGTAAAATCTCCTTTATTATCATCAGATAGTTTTTTCCCCCGTCCCCCTCCAATGTTCTTCACTTTCTCCGGCTAGCACTCAGCTCGATGCAGCTTTGCCGATTACGAAGATAGTCGCCAGGTTAACAGACGAACGGGTGGACAGACGGACGGACGCTCAGGGAGGCCGAAGCTAACCTTGGAGTCGCCTCCCCCGCTTCCGCACTCGCCCTTGTCATACCACCATTTGTTTTTCAATTTGTCCAACAGGCCTTGTTCGTTCAGTTTTAGAACGGCCAGGTTAACTGCATCTCTTGGGGGTCGGGGCGAAGAGTTATGAGGTGCGGGTGGTCGGGCGACGGCGTTTTGGGGACCGCGGCCGTTACGTTGTTGTTAAGGGGGGGGGGGGGGGGGGTAGGCAAGAGGGCGCAGGGATGAGTGTTGGGGGGTGGCAGGGGTGGGAGGAAACACACTTCGTCAGCTGGCTCAGACAGGCACTGTATGCAGCGTGGCTTTTGAAATGTTACGCTTAGCAGTGGTGGCCCTCTCGGCCAAATAATAAAGCAATGGGTTATACGTTCGTAGCAAAAATGTATTAATTGTCAGTGTGGTAATTATGATAAGGTGGCGTCAAAATTCTCATCTTTTTTTTTACTGCCGTTGCAATATATTTTAGGCACACATATCAACTTAACACTCTCCGAGTGCTATGCTTATGAGGTTTGCTGTTGATGTCATTATAATTGCCACACTTTCAATTGTGCATGCCCCCACATTGCAGCATTTGATTCCACTGCCCCAAAATATGAAGGGGGATTGGATTAGAATGACCGGGGGACTGTTCATCGTTGCACGCGCATTCAAAGGTGACATTTGGTTAGCAAAGTCGAGCTGTGCTTTCCATGAGAGGCAAGCCAATACAACGTACTGTAGCCATGGTCTGCAGGACCTATAGGAATATGTGGTTTTCTTAGGGAATGTTATCGCAAGCATTAAACGACACGGTTCAAACATCGAGCTTGGCACGCTCATTTTTGACTTGGAGTCAATCGCTGAAACAGAAAACGAGAGGCTTAGGAAGAAACAAAGAACAACTCAGTGAGTCAGGCTGTTACAGACATTCAGCAAAGGTGAAATCTCGAACCAATATATCCACCTGAAAGAAATACATCGCGTTAGAAACATCTTTGGGACTCGCATAACTTTACGAAATAAATGACTGACACAAGAAAGCACGGAAGGTATCCCTTGGATATCTGCAATGATTAATGGGGAAATTACAACAATTACCAAGGATTTAAAAGACATCTCTATACAGTAATGTATATATGTCACATTGTCTCATGACATGCATTCAAGATTTCTGAGTGCAACAACAGCAGATTTACTCTCTGCAGATATTATTGGTTGTGCCGGATATCTGTCAGTCACTAGATTGCAGCAGCTTTTCAGCCTTCCTCAGTGTTGCAGAATAACTCTGCAACAGCACACCCGTTTCTCATGGGCGATGGGTACAGAACCACTTCAGGTACAGGGAGACCAGCTATTGTCATCAGAGGGACTTATATATGCATTCAGTCTCAAGGTACTTAATTTTATTTTAACATGTAGTAGGCTTTTGTGACCAATATCCAAAATACAATTTTTTTTGGGGGGGTTAGATTGCGTGAATATAAATGTGTCGTTAAACCCACCACCACCCAACGCAGCCAATTAGTAATGTTTGTCACGTAAACAAAACGACGTACTCGAATTGTAAATGTTGTGGGTTTACTCTCCAACACACCGGTGTGCTGAAGTAGGAATTAATTGGCACGTTTTGTTTACATGACAAGCCTTACTAATTGGCTGTGTCGGGTGGTGGTGGGTTTAACAACACATTTATATTTACATCATTTTACTGAATGTCCTTCATAATTATTATTACACTTGCTTACCCGGGAAATCCTCACCAAGTCTCAATTTTCGTTCAGGAGCATCGTGTTAATTCTTCTGATTCGAGGGTGATGTTTCTACGTGCAATTTCAATTCAGCAATTAGCATTGGGGATGATTGGACAATACCAGTCACATTGCACGTGTTTTTTTGTTGCTATGGGAAGAAACTGGAGAATTCGCAGGAAACCCCTGCACGACAGAGAGAGAACATAAAACCCCACACAGAAAGGCAAAAGGCACCAGAGTCGAGAAATTAACCCAGGGCCTTCTTGTTGTGTGGCACAAGTGTTACCACTGCACCACCCTGCCGCTAAAATGATTGTTAGGTGGTTTTCCTCTCTCTGAGTTGGCTCTGTGGAACGGTAAAGGGTTTTTCACAGTGACTGCGTATGTGACCCACGTACTTTCTAAACAGCCAAATACCCTTTTAAACGCATACATTATACAAAGGGGATTTTTTATTTGCCCTGTGGAAGGCTTCTAAGGTGATGAAAGATAGTGAGCGAAAGTGGAAACAACTTATGAAACTAAGTCTGAAGTTGGCAAAAATTTGCTTCTGTTACACTGAGAAACGTTTCCTAGTGTACAAAGCCCATCACACCGAGAGACTGGTATTACAGCAGCAGCGCCAAAGACAGCACTGCTAGTGAAAACCGATTTATATATGTATACACATGAATGAAAACACACATATATACACATACAATATAAACAGTGTGGAACAAGGAACACAAAGCAGAGAAGAGAGCAAAGTCACCTCACCTCATCTCACCTCAACATTTTTATGAGGCGGCAGAAGTAGCACCCACGACACACACGAAACAACGCAAGAGACACGCATCAAGGCGGGTGGAATACTATAACAACCAACAATGGCAATGCGGCCGCACCAACAGCAGAGGAGACAAGAAGGGGGGGGGGGGGGGATAAAGAAACGGACCCAGAGGGAATGCCAAGGGAAAGGGTGCTCTTGGACAGAGCCTGCCTGACGGCCGCTCGCGCATTGTTATACTATTCCACCCACCTTAATGCCGATCCCTTTGGTGTGGCGATGCCGTAACCCTTGGAGTCCAGGTTGCCGCCCACTTTCATCGTGTCGCAGGGTTTGCGCTGCTCCGTGTACTCGTTTGTAGTGGACTCGAGCAGGTAGGCGTACTTGCCCTTGGACTTGCGCACTCGCGAAACGCCATCGGCGTTGGTCCTCACGAAAACCTTGGGCTCGGCGTCCTTCATGAAGAGCCACATCTTTTCGTAGACGCCAATTTTGGAGCGCTGCACGGAGACGAGGGCAGGATGGGGATGGGATTCGCGTCGTGAGAGGGAGGTGGGTTTTTACACCGGGATTAGCGCTCGCACCTCCGATTAGCACAGTTTGGCTACGTGTGTTGCGGAAGAAGTTCAGCATACATACATACGTAAGTGCGGACATATGCACGTTTGGGTTTAATCAGACACCAAAAAAACATGCAAAGGAAAGAGTAAATACAATATGTTTGTTATCAGAAGTAGTTGGATTGATCAGAATATCGTGTGCACTCAGGGTTTAATTTGTTACTCGATATTTTCGGGAAAGCTGCTGAGCTGGCTTGGAGTGCAAGATACACCTAGCCATAAGTAATTGTATTTTGCCCTATGCTTGAATAAAACATTTGCATCGAATAACGTGAAATGGATGGGAGTAGCGGAACCAAAATAGTTCCTGAAACGCTGTTCTGGACTCCTATAGCTCGAATTGCACGCTGTGTATATGTAGTGTTGACAAAGGAGGCAGAGACTTCTTCGTAGGCAACACCGTTCATTTACTCTAACGTCAGAGAACATCCCGAACACAGAGAGGTAACGGCCTCTCCCACCCGATAGCCTAGAGGATACGTCCTCATACTTAGTGTGCCCTCACACTATACTCTGCTTAACGGGTACCGCCACTGGGCCGTTCGGACCTGGCATTGACAAGGGCCGGAGGTCGGAAGTCCCAGGGCACTATCTCGATGTCTTGAGTCTTGAGGTGAGTGCGGACTGACTCATGCTGGGAGAGCTGCTGCCCTTTATATCCTTCCTCTCCCAACCGTCCTGTCTCGTGAGGGTCTGGGTCCAACCGTTGCCCCCCCCCCAGTCCCCTCCCTCAGTGGGCTCTGGCCCCCTCACCCCTGGTCAACGGTTATTGTAGTCGCAACTCATACAATACTGCTATGCAGGTAAGTATACATGTTGCGTGTAAAATAATGTTGCATCTTTTTAGAGTTGTAAGTTATACACTTTTTTAAAGAATTTCTTTAACATAGACCTATATGGCAGATTCGTGCCATTTGGGTTTTCATAAAACTCGTGGAGTAATTTAGCCATTGGTGACGCGTATTTTTTTGCAATGTAATGCAAGTGAGTATTCTTTCTTCCTTCCATAAGCAGTACTTCTATCAAGGCTGAATTTAAGTACAGCACAAGAAAATCTTGCCCAACGCGGCTTTCTCGAACACTTGTTCGGCTCTACACGGTTTACCTAAAGAGCTCTGTGTTCCGAAATACGGGGGCGATGTTTCGGCTGTACGCGGTTTGACGCAGATTCTCATCTTTGCATCAAAAAGAGTGCTGCATCCATTGGAAGGTGTGAATGAATCGTCTATGAGAACAATTAATTTACCACGTATGTTTTTTCTATGGTGTATGTTTTTTTGTGCATGTTTTTTGCGTTATAATTTAACACACTCAACATGTACAACGACACCTTAACACATTGCAGCATAGTCCACTCATTCGAGACGCTCTTCATATAGACACCTAGATGGAGAATCATTAACGTTCACGTGACAGTGTTAGGAGCAAGTGTCGGGCTGGGAATTCAGTGTCAGGGGCAAGCGGTGCGTTGGAAATTCAGTGTTAGAAGCGAGCGTTGGGATGGGAATTCAGTGTTAGGAGTGAGTGGCGTGCTGGGAATTCAGCGTTCGGGACGAGCGGTGGGCTGGGAATTCATCATCAGGGGCAAGCAATGGGCTAGGGATTCAGTGTTCCGTTCTGATGACATATACGTACGCAATTGGAATAGAAAAGGGTTAATAAATAAAATATCACGATGCAGCCCTTAAAGAGCGGCATGTGGCTCTGGAAGCGTGGGTTTGCCGGCACCTGCCCCAGCCGCATACCTGGAAGAACTCTTTGGTGGATCCAGAGTCAAGTGTGCCATAGGCGATCTCCGTCTGCTTGGCCAGGTCATCGGCGCTCTCGATGGGTGACACCATGCGCTCCACGGTGAGGAAGGCAGCCAGGTTGGCCGTGTACGACGAGATGATGATCAGCGTGAAGAACCACCACACACCGCCGACGATCCGCCCTGAGAGCGACCTGCCACAAAACGGGTACAGCAACAAAGATCCAGATTTTGCCAGGATGACCTGCTATGATGCAGAGGGATATTAGTAGAGAATGAACTGTGTTTTTTTAATATATCATCTTTTATTGATCCCAAATCTGCAATCATGACAGAGGGCATGAAATTGTCCGTGCTGAGTTTGCATTTTTAGGAGTTGCGTCCTCACTGTTTATTTCTTTCTCCACAAAAAAGGGATATTTAAAGTGTTCCGGATTCCTTTTATAACCAAGGCCGGGTTGGGAGTATGGATGGGGAGGGGGGGCGGAGGAGAAAGCATTGGTTTATAATTCCTGCTGGGACGACTATACAAGTCCAATCCCATGGGCTTAAGCGTGGAATCTCGATTTTTAAAAAATGTGGACGTCAAAAGTTGGCCCATGTTCCTGCAGCTTGTGGCCCCTGTGCAGCTGTGCCTTTAGCTAGGTATGGTGGAAGGCATGATGGCATTAAAATAAAATATGAAACAATTTTTATTTCACCAGGTTAAAGCCTACTGAGCTAAATTGCTCTTTTAAGAAGCGACCTGGCCACAAATCATAGCTCAACGAAGTGGCTTATGTGGAAGTTTATAGCAGACAAATACTCTAAACGCATGTTGACTCTAAATGTGGAGGGAAAAACCAGAGGACTTGGAGAACAATCCACGCGACCACGGGGAGAACATGCAAACTCCAAATATACAGGCGTCAGGGCCGGGATCGAACCCAGGCAAGGTAGTTAACATCTCGCCACCGTGGCGCCCATGATGATCACTGTGTGGCAGAGAACTATCCCTTCTCAACACTGTGAACATTTGAAAGACATGGACACATCCTTTGCATGACATTCAATATACAGCTGGCTTCAGGGTTGGAATTAAACTCACGACCTCCTGCATACTAGGCAAGGTTGAATAGGATTCAAATTTCTATATACCCATATAAGGCGCGTCAGGATCCCAACTTAGAGTCTCCTGCATACCGGTCGAGGGAGTTGACATCTCGCCACCGTGGCATGTCCACAAAGGATGAGCAAAGCAGGAAGGTGTGATGAGTGCTTTACCTGGGCGAGATCTCGCATCCCTGCTGCATGAACGCGCCGAGGGAGAACCAGAGGCTGTTGAAGATGCCAAACTCGTTGGGGGGCTCCCCACCCCCACCACTGCCGCCCCCCGCACCACCGCCGCTGCCCCCTCCTCCTCCACCCCCACCGGCCCCACCGTTGCCGTTGGGCTCGACATCGGTGTCGTCGTCGCGCTGCCACTCGTAGGGGCTGAAGCGGCTCACCAGGAAAAGGACGACGCTCACGCCGATGTACGCGAAGATGATGCACATCCATATCTCGTAGGCGAGCGGGTCGAGGAACGAGAAGACGCCGGGCTTGGACTTCTGCGGCTTCTTGATCATGATGGAGATGCCCAGGCTCATGAACGGCTTGGAGAAGTCTATGACTTCCTCGCGCACCAGCGAGATGGTGAGCGGGGCGATGGCGATGTCTGCCCGCTGCCGGTGTGCACAGCACAGTTTCCAATGGTCAGATAATTAAGGAATGTCGTGCGTTCGCATGGAGTCCGGAACGATTGCACACATGCACTCTTATCCCTCTGAGGCAGTGGTTTTCAACCTTTTTTGGCTACTGTACCCTCCTTGTTGAATGTTGGTTTCAACCGAGTACCCCCTTGCCTGACCCAACATGGTTCTGAGAAATAAATGTATGAATGATGAACATCAATATTTTAACCAATTGTCCACTTTCCATACGAGCTAGTAACTCGAAGCTAATATAAATAAATCAACGGAAGCTCTGCACGCATGATGTAATGTGTTCATGCTTGCTGGTTACTCTTAGTAACCACAATATTTATAATCAATGAGTTTAGAAAGGTCTTTGATATCGTTCTAGGTTACCATATGGATTCAAATTGTATCATAGTTATTTTATATGTGTAGACTCATAGATGATTATTCACCAATTACTCTCATGTACGATGCAATTTTAAGCATTTATGAATAACCTCATGTACCCCCTGGGACATTGCCACGTACCTCCAGGGGTCCGCGTACCCCCGGTTGAGAACCACTGCTTTGAGGTATTCAATTAGTGACAACAACGTTCCGTTTCAAGCCGCACAACAAAATAAGATCACATGTATGTAGTAGCATCATCGGCCATTGAGGTGTGAGTATGACTCGCGACTTCACAAGATGACGTCACGTGCCGACGAATATTCTTTGAGTCTTTTTTTGTTGCCAAGCGTTGGGCAACTCTCTAAGCAAAGTTGGCTGGTTTTCTAGAGAGAAAGTCACTAATAGTGACTCAACTTTACAATAGAATGACAGACAGACATATGGATGAACATAGATGGATGGACAGCCACATCCAATGCGTGTTTAGCCAGAGTTTGGAAAGCGTTATAAAAGAGTGTCTCCAAGTTCACAACAACATTGTGGGGTACTCATCCTTGTTGTTGGTCCTGAACTAGGGGTAATAATCCACATTTCTGTGGAAGGAGCCAGCCCTTCCCTATAATAATACTGTTGACTACCCACAAAATAGCAACCATTTCACTGGCCACAGAATGATGATGGGTTGAGTTATGCCTCAAATGGGATTTGAACTCTTGACATATCTATTGTGAGTTGAGTAATCAACCGCAATGCTACCTGACTTAATATGTACAAACATTGCAATTGGTTTAGATACCAGCAGATAACAGAGTGGTGTGATCAGAGCATTAAAAACACTATCAGCCTAAACACTTAGCTTTGTAGATTCTTGAAAAAATATCACATTTGATAATGAGAAATCTATTAAAAAAACAACTCCACGATATTGTGTCGTTTACAATAATGGCTTGAATGTGGTTTAATAAGCTATCGCATACAAACATTATTGATAAGATATTGATCATCATTATCAGCCATGGTCAATCCACTGCTAGATGAAGGCTTCCCCAAGCCACCGCCATCCTTCATGATCCTGTGACGTAATAATCCACATAGCACCAGCACATGTGCTGATGTTATCGCTCTCAGATGCATTCCATCCCTTGATTGCCCACTCCAGGATTACTCTTGAGCATTGGCCATCATCCCTTAAGACTGTCCTTCTCAAGCCCTCCGTATTTACTATTGCTGTTCTCTTCAAAAGCATTTTTTTCCTGAAAGACACAACTTTAAAATCTAATGAACAAACGTCACGTACTTTGTTGGCAAAAGGAGAACACATTTAAAGTATGCTCTGGGCCCTGACTACGGGAGTACTCACCCCATACACCAGCTCTCCAACCATGCCATTCCAGACCTTGGTGTCAGGATTTCGTGCCCCATAGGCACCATCGGGCACCACCGACCATTTGTACTCGAACTGTTCGTGGATAGCGATCTCTTGGCCCAGGTCCACACAGTAGCCCTCGTACTTGTCATTGCCTTCAAATTGCTCGTGGTTCTTCTTGAGCATGAAGTACGGCGCATCCTGGGAGAGCGAGGGAGTGAAAGTTTGACAATCGAAGGCAATGCCCTGGATTAGAATACATTATTAACATCATCAGCTATGGTCAAGCCACTGCTGAATGGAGGTCTCCCCAAGCCACTGCCATCGAGGCAGTGCCCCAAGAAGATGTTGATCCGCACGCTGAGAATCAAGATGGTCTGTTTTGCTACCTGTAAACTTGAAACATCAAAATGTTAAAGATAAAACTGAATGCCCCTGTTGGTCAATCGACACTCCATGTGAAAGTTAATCAAAAACTAATCCTAAGTAAATTTAAAAACCTGAAAGTAAAAATGTCTTATCCCACTTACGGTCTCCATTTGGTTGCATAACCCTCCGGGCTTTCAGGGAGGCTGACAAATGCTTGGCTGGGAGCCATCGTTTTTAAATAGCTTGCTGATAAAAGTAGCTTGAACCTTTATCCATGGGTAAAAGTGGTTTACGAAAGATAGCCGGGCGGCAAACACATTGATATACCCACTGGGAATTTTTGGTGCAAAATTCCATTTCTGTTTCTCAACCAACTCGTGACCTCTTACCAAAAAATATTTCATGAATGACATTTGCAATTCTGGCAGTGAAATATGAAGACATTGAAAATAATAATAATACTGCATTTACTCCACAGAGAGGAAGCTGCAGTGACAACCAAAGACATATTTTACAATGTATGTCTTTATTTAAAATGTAATATTGTCAACATTTACTTACAATATCCCCAAATAACATAATCTAGTACACCTTTAAAAAAAGCATTCGACTATTTAACCCATTAATTTCATGATGTATATAAAATAATGCTCTAACATGTATTGTTAGTAAAGTAAATACATTGCTATATTGAGCTTTTCATTCCCACTTTAAATATATCTAGTTACATCAAGAATGATGAAATGTATTTCGATTAAAATCCACTGGTAGTCAATGCATCTCTTTGAAAACAACGACGAAGACTGGAAAATGAACGTGAGAATTTGGATGAGATAGAACGACAGGTTTAAAATTGAAGTATCAACACCATGGCAACAGCACTTTGGACGAAACAAATTACACGATCACTCCATTGCTAGGAGGCAGACAGTCACGCATCTGTCCAGAATCAGTCAAGCAGGGCTCGTTTTCGTTCATAATAAAATCATTTTAGTCACCTCAACAAACAGCAACAATAACAGAACAATTGTCAAGAAAGCCATGCCCATCTCAGAGTACTGAGCCATTTCTCCTGAGATCATGGGTTAAAATCCTAGGCTGCTATCTGAGATCAAAGCAGGTTCTGAGGAGGAGTAGTAGTGAATTGTGATCTGGGCCCATATGCCAATGCCCTGTGCAAAATAATAATAATATTAATAATTGGAAACGATTTTTTGTTTGTTTTCATCAGTGATTTAGGTTAAGCTCAACACCATTCCTTGGTAAAGTTACAGTATGAGGTTCAAATATAACAGGTCGCCCTGGTTATATTTATTGCACGTGTATTAACCACACAAATACATGGCGCCTGCTTCACAGTTTTTGTAATTTGGAATTAGCAGGCCGTTTGTGTGCTGGCATCACGGTCCAAATCGACCAAAGTCGGAAATTGCCCACAGATTACTCAATTGGGATTACACACAGCAACTTCACCCACCGATATGAAACTCTAGCTATGCATGTGAAACGCAGCGCCTTCGTGACAGCCTTGTGCAATAGCAATGACGCGAACACCAAATGTATTACGTTTATTACTATTTACACCGAGGGAAAATTTAGCATAAGCAATTAGTAAGCAACTTCCCCGTTTGCATTATAGTTAACAGGGGTATTACAGACCCTTTGAGGATATACAATAATCAGTGTTTATAAGTCAATCACCAGTTATTTTGTCTGCTTCACAAATGAAGCGTGATCTCTTCATGGTAATGATTGCATATCTTTGAAAACAATGCCTAAGATGCCAATTGTACTATTGTCTGGAGTAAAAAACCCAACAACAAGTTAATTATCCGTCTCAGAGAACTTTGTAACGGCACAACATGGACGGCCTCTCCCACATTAATCATGGGTTACAGTTTTTACGATGCCATTTTTCCGTTTACAAGACGTTTTATTTATTTAGTTTTATTGGTTTTCGGTTACTTTGTTGTTGCTTTAGTAGAATTGACAAGGTCAGACAGAATGTGAGTCACGGGAACATGCCACACATACACGTGATACGTAATGGGGAAAGAAAGAAACAAAGGGATGACATGGTCAAAGTAAATTCCGAAAGTTGTGAAACTTGTTTGAATAATGTCAAATACTTCCCTGCTCGCATGGTATTGAAGTTGATTTAATGCTTTCCAGATGTGAAAGACAAAATATGTAGCACAGATGAACGTTCAAGAAGAACAATTCAAATAGAGATCAGACCAATAGAAGAGTTACGTTGAGTAACATAATTTCGTGCTTTTCAATGCTCCTTCACATATCCTGTCATCATGTTTACATGCCAATTTTCACCACAATGCAGAGCATCACTCCGTGTATCGCAAGGCAATCTCACATTTCCTCATGGTATCCATGGTTTAACTACGTGCATACTTCTATCACATCAACAACAGAGTGCCGTGACATGTACACATTGGTTTATGTTAATGATCATGTGATGTTCATTGACTAGTAGTTGTGTACTCTGCACGAGCTGCAGAGAGGCACTGTGTATAATGAAACACCATGCATACGGATGCAGTGACAGGCTGGATTATCGCTTTCACAGCCTCACCATCAGGGAAGGCTTTGAAGACGGTCACTGCATGGTTCTATTCAAGCATGTGTGCTTGTGGATCAAAGGATCAACAAATATCGTCGGACCATCAATCGCAAGCGTCATTGTAGAACAATGACTTAGAGGTTGAGAGCGACTGTGATTGATATCAAAGTAGGGCGTGTGAATTAATGTGTATAAGAGCAGAGGAATCTGGAGCACATACATTCGTTGAGAATGTATTTTAGTGCTTCGACATGTTCTGCAAGGAAGGATTAACAGCACACCAATAATTAATATTTCATCAGTGGGGAGTAATATCCTGGGCCCTCCTTTCACCTACCGACACAGACCAACGTGGACAAGTACGGTAAAATAACCCACATGACTAACACAGAGGGTGGACGACTTCATCCAGCAGTGGCTTGGCAAAGAGCAGCCAATTACCAGCCAGATACTTGGGGGCTTAAATGCCTCCTACCTCATGGGCCCTAAGGTACTCTCACAAAAAAAAAAACCTTTCATTACATTGTCCCTACCATGTTACAGAGATGAAAAAGACATCCTTATGGCATCGTATATGCCCAGGCAGGGGTCTCTGGGCGTATGGATGGTGTTCAATGCATATATATTTTTAAAAGATAGAGGACAATACTATAAGGATGCACATGCATACTCAAGGCTAAAGGTCCCACATTCACTGTATAACATAAACAATTATGTAGATGTGTTTATTGAAAGCATTAAAAACAATCCCGGATGATATCAGATGTTTTGAGTGCCAATTTCACCAATCAAACCGTTTGATCTACTGTAACTAATTACATTGTAATTCCATACTGCACTTGGAGGCGAGGCTGCTTGAGGTCTGGAGAGGCGTACCTCAAATGTCCTGGAGCAATGCAATTGTTAAGCCAGTGCGCCGTGCTGACAGCGAGCTATGGGAGTTCCATTTTCCATCAAGTGTATTTTTTTGGCCATCAGGGTTCTTTTAAAATCCCCATTATCTACATCTGCAAAAAATCGTGGTCACTGGCCCATTTAGAGAATGTGCGCAGCGGAGTAGTGACAAAGAGACTTGGTGGCCACGAGCCCTCGCCACACTGCCTACTCAGGCTGCTCTCACCAAGATGGTGGTGACGATAACGGTCCGGTTGCCAGTTTTGCCCGATCCATTCCTGCCGAGCATTTCCTGGTTGGTGATCACCAGGTTGCGCGCTCTCTCCGACCAGTAGCCAATCTGCAACGCATGATGCGACACAACAACAAAAAACACGCAACACCAATTAAGATTCCCGCGTATCCATGGCGTGATCATTATTCACTCGACATTTTTTGGAACGCTGCTCGGCTGCCTTAGATTACCGGCATAAGGGGCCGTCCATAAATGGCGTCACACACCTGGGGAGGGGGGGGGGGGTCAGACATTTGTGACGATGTGTGACGAGGGGGGGAGGGGGGTTTGAGAAATGTGACGTAACGTCAAGATGTGCAACTGCTGAACAATTTTTCTACCTAGGTGACTTTATCGAAAAAACCAAAGAGTAAGCAGTCTACCGTTTACAAACAGCCGTTCTATATATGCAAATTATATATCAATTCATGAACCTATATTGATGTGCAAATAAATCGACTTTTGATTTACACATTAATACAAATAATTGGGCACTTGGAAAAAAAAACTGTACTACTAGCATTGGCACAGCTGTCTTCCAATAAGCACATTGTTTTAGATTATACCTGACTGCAAATCTGCTTTAAAATAAAGCGCAGGAAAAAAAATGCCACGTGTTTGGTTAACGTAAGTGCTGTTTTTGTGGAAGAGCGTGAAAGGCAGTAAACTGCAAGGCACTTCAATTAATTTCAGCCAGAATCTGTACCAAGTATGCTGATATAAATTATTCAGCTATTGATTTAGGCCATACATCATTTATTGAGAATACATTCGTACAGTTTGTGACCTATGCAGAAAAACTGCAAACCCTCGTAAAACGGTATCTGTATGGCTATAAGCACGTACCCTATATAAGCACGTATACTATAAAAACACGTACCCTGTATAAACACGTACGCTATATAAACAAGTGGATATAAGTACAGGCGAGACGGATAATGTTGTGTACCGTCGCTGCCTTAATATCAGCCATGCTATTGGCACTTGGTGGACCTTTGTGCATGTGCAATGTTGAACATCTGATGCTGCCATGGGGCAATGGTGTAGCAGAATGGACTTGCAATCCAGAGGTTTCTGGTTTTTGACCTCCTATGGTGGCAGTTTAAACGACATGCAAGTTTCTTAAGTCCTTCCACCGTGTCTGTCCAGCAGGATAACCACAGGTCACCTGTATCGGCAGGTCACCTGTATTCCTTCATGGAGGCCCCTTTCACCGGCAGTGGCATTAGCAAGTAAATAGAGAGACGCACCTTTACCCTCATATAGTATTCTATTTGGATCGCCTGGAGATATATTTATAGTTATATATTCACAAAGACAAAGATCTCCCGTATAGCCTTTAATATATTAGAAGGAGGGGATGAGTGGCCAGCAACATGCCCGACCGCCTTTGTCTCCTCAGTGGTGATGTTTACACATCGTGCCAGGTACTCATTTCAGGCTGAGTCGAGCTAGGGGAGGCCCACCAGGACGAGTTCAGACATCCGCCACTGTTATGGGTCGTGAGCGGGAATCAAACGCGGGTGGCCGGGTTCGTAGTGCAGCACAGCGGATTGACCGCTGCCAAAGACAAAGACCCCCCGTGTAGTCTTAACAGACTGTAGGGGCAAGTGCTGTTAGCGAGCACCTATAAAGGCCGGCATGGCACACGAGGGGGTGGGTGGCCAACACCACGCCCGGCCGCCTTTGTTTCCCGAGTGGCGATGTTTACACATTGCACCAGGTACTCATTTGAGGCTGAGTCGACCTAGGGGAAGAGGCCCAGGACCGGTTCAGATAATCGTCACTGTTGTTAGCCGTGAGCAGGAATTGAACTCAGGTCGTCAGGTTCGTAGCGCAGCATGCTAACCGCTGCACTTCCACACACACACACATTCCCAGTTTAGCTTTTTAGACTATTCGGGCACGTGGTGTTTGTAAGTACCAAACATATAACACACACACGTATGTATTTTTCTGCCATCTTAGTTCGAATAAACGTGACTGGGAGAGAACAACAGACTGCACGCGTCATGCGAAAGCGGGTACGCAAGGCTCGTGACCTTGCTCACCAGGCGCTAACGCGGACAGGCTGACGCGCGTCTACACGGCTCATGTCGGTGCAGCATATCGCAATTCTGTAAACGGAGAGGAGCAAACGTTCCACGTGCTCAATCGTAGATAAACATGAGAAGCCTCCGGTGATGTGGTGTCACACTTGGTGTGCAGACGAATCTTAAATGAGGTGAAAGAACAAGGCTGTAGGGAGGGATGCATTAATTATTAAGGGCAGAACACCCGGGCCATATTCCTTTTCATTTGACGCAATTTGATGTCCAATGCTTCACACTAGAGAGTACAAAAGTGAGCGGATCCTATTTGAGCACATCCACGTACCTTCTAACAATGTGCAATAATGCCAGACGTTTATATAGCACTGCAATACGAATGGTCTATTTTTTTAATACATTGGTCCTTTTGTATATGAATAAAAATGGATTACAGTAATTACCATGACAAATTTTGGATGAAATGTGTCACCTTAAGAACGAGATGCTGTCTGGCAAGCATACAGTATTTGGAATATGTGTAACACTGTGTAACACATTTTTATATTTTTTGTTCCTGGGTAGTAAATGTTATTTCCTAATTGCCTTTGACTCAAAAGTACAGAAAATAGCTATCATTCCCTACAAACTTTGCTTTTCTGATCAGAACAGTGATATTTTGAAATTTACCTATTTTCCAGAACATTCCAGATAGATTCAGTGCTGATTAAACTTGGAGTAACTTCTAGAACATTCTAGATCTTTCCAGTAATATAAATAGTGGTATAATTACAGGGGCTTTAAGCCCACCAGTTCAGTTTAGTTCCAGCCGCCTAAGCGGATACATATCTACATTTTTCAGAGATGGCATCAAGAGGCTGCAAGCATCCGGCAGACGCATTTTGCAATTTCTGCGGCCAATTTATCAAGACAAGAGCGAAAAAGTACTCTGTGGAAGCATCTGCTAAGATGTGTGAGGCCTACAGGGCATATTTTGCATGCCTGTCGAGGATCAAGACAAACCCTGGGCACCTATTTTCACCTGCGAGCAATGCAAAAAAAGTTAAGATATACAATTGTTGTTCGGAATTTTATGTTGTAAAATGTATTTAAAAATGTTTATTTGTAAAAGTTTATTTTTTAATGTTTTATAATTATCAATGTTATTGAAAAATGTATTTAAAAATGTTTATTTGTAAAAGTTTATTTTTTAATGTTTTATAATTATCAATGTTATTGAAAAAATATATAATATATGCATTTTTTTGAGAATCTCTTACACATTAGTCATGGGTGAAATACATTTGTTTTTGTTGGATGGTACTCAGGGGAAAAGAGAACCATGAAGTTCACTATCCCAATAATTTGGCGGGAACCCACTGACCACTCAAGCAACTGTTACTTCTACATGGTGGACCCTTCCAAACGTCGGACTGGCAAGAATGCACCTGCTATCACGTATCTGGACCTTCCTTCATCCATCACCCCGGTACCACACTGCCATGAGCTCCCCGTATGCACTCCTCCGGAGAGAGAGCAGCTGTCTTTAGAAGAGAGCAGCAAGTCAGAGAGCGAGGAAGACGTTGTAGAACAAGATGACAATTTCAAAAAAACCTCAACGACTTCATCAGAGATCTTGGTCTCACCAAGTCCAATGCTGAGCTTTTGACGTCTAGGCTCAAGCAGTGGCACTTGTTGGATGAAAGTGTGCAAGACGCAGATCAGAGGAAGTGTCACCAACCTTTTTGCAGCTTCTTCACCCGTCAAGATGGGCTCTGCTTCTGCCACAATGTGACCAGTCTGTTCGAGGCAATCGGAATCGCCTGTAACCAGAATGAGTGGCGCCTCTTCATTGACAGCTCATCCAGGAGCCTCAAAGCCGTGCTGCTCCATGATGGTAACAAGTACCCATCTCTTCCCTTAGCTCACTCGGTGCACCTCAAAGAGGATTACAAAAGCATCAAGACCTTTCTGGATGCCTTGAAGTATAATGAGTACGGCTGGGAGGTTATCGGAGACTTCAAAATGGTGGCATTTCTGATGGGTCTCCAAGGCGGGTTTACCAAGTTTCCCTGCTATCTTTGCCTTTGGGACAGCAGGGACACCAAGGCGCTGGTAGACCCCCGGAAGGTGCTGATGCCACCACTGCAAATCAAATTGGGCTTAATGCAACAATTTGTCAGAGCTGTAGATAAGGAGTCGGCAGCCTTCAAGTACCCTTAAGACTTCTTCTCTAAGCTTTCCGAGGCAAAGGTCAAAGCCGGTGTCTTCATCTGACCACAGATAAAGAAAATCCTGGAGTGAAATTAATTCCCCAAGAAGCTCACTTGTAAGGAGAAAGCGGCTTAGATCAGCTTTGTCGCAGTGGATCGTGGCTTCCTGGGCAATCACACGGTCGAAAACTATGTACAGCTGGTTGAGACTCTGGTGAAGAACTACGGCACAATGGGCTGTAGGATGTCCCTAAAAGTCCATATCCTTGATGCTCATCTTTATCAATTCAAGGAGAACATGGGAGCGTACTCGGAGGACCAAGGCGAGCGCTTCCACCAGGATATACTGGACTTTTAACGCCGCTACTAAGGACAGTATAACGATAATATGATAGGGACTACATTTGGGGGCTGATTCGTGAAAGTGATTTACAGTATAATCGTACATCTCTAAAAGCTACTCACTTCTAAATCTTTTGTAGTCATTTTTATTATTATTTTAGTATGAATACATGTTAATTTTGATTCAATGTTTTTTCTGACTTTATGTGAACGAAAATACACAAATTTGCCCTTTTTCTCATTGAAATAGGTACATTTCAAAATATCATTGTCCTGGTCCCAAAAGCTAAGTTTGTTGAGAATAATATCCATTTTATATACGTTTTAGGCATAAGCACTTAGGAAATAACATTTACTTTCCAGGAAAAAAAATTGTGTTACATAGAGATAATTCACACAATTTGTGGTTTTTCATGTATTTTTCCATGTCTCTAAATGACTTGCACAGTAATAAAGTATTAAAGCTTTCGTGACTGCGTAAAAT